GACCCCCCCCCCCCCCCCCCCCCCCCCCGCCGCCACCCTGCCTAGGACTCCAGTTATCACCTCCACAGTGACTCATCTAATTGGCTGTTTGGCTGGTCAGTTGATTTTATTGAGACAGAATCCCACACCATAACCCAGGCTTCTAAGTCAAGGTAATCCACCTGCATCAAGTATGGGGATTACAGGTGTGAGCCTTGTCCGATTTTATTTGGGAAGAGGTCTCTCTATAACGCAGACTGGCTCTATCACTCCAAGTTCCTGACAGCAAGCATGCCCCACCCCCAGCGGCTGAGTGTGTAGGCACATTATCCACTTTTTGTACACGTTATTAATTTGATTTACATATTTTATTGGGGCGGGGCACCGTACATATGTGACAGAAGACAGCCTGCAGGAGGTGGTACCATCCTTCCACCATGCGGGTGGGTTCCACCTTTACCTGCTAAGCCACCTCCCAGTTCTTGTTTGATTTTGAGACAGGGTCTCCTGTATCCCAGACTGGCCTCCGATTCAGTGCAGCTCAGTCTGACTTTATTCCTTCTGCTCCCACTTCTCAGGTGTTGGGATGTCGGACACGCTCCCCATTCCCAGCCCCACTCCTCTCTTTGTCACTGCTCTTGTTTTGTTTTGGGTTGTTTTTGAAGACCTCACCATATAACCCTGGCAGTCTGGAATTCTCTGTGTGTACCAGGCTGGCCTCGAACTCACGGAGATCCACCTTTATTGGGAGTGATTCACTTTTTAAAGTTGCGTGTTAGTGTTGTGGGTCCGTGTTCATTCACACATATACAGAGGCCGGAAGGAGGTGTCTTCCTTTTGTTCTCTAACCTCTTTTTTGAGGCAGGGTCTCTCACTGGATCTGGAATTCACCTCTTGGATAAGGTGGCTGGCCAGTGAGCTCAGAGGATCTGTCCCCAGCACCCCCTAAGGTCACAGGCCTGAACCACTATGCCTGGCTTTTATGTGGGTGGCGGGAATTCAAACTCAAACCTTCATGTACAGCAGACACTTCACCTATGAGCCGGCTCCCCTCCTCTCCCACTCCTCATACTTAAGGTCTCCGAATCAGGGGACCTCAGGGCCTGGTCATCCTTGGCAGCTCTACATTGCTCACTGTCACCATAGTTACATGGTTGTGCCTTTGTTCCGTTGCTTGCTGTCAGCCAGTTTGTAGGTGCATGTCTGTGTGCTGGCTGGCTCTCCTGCCAGAGGCTTAGCTTTTAGTCCTGGGAGCACCTAGGCACAGCAGCCAGGGCTATTGGGAAGTCATTTGGGGTGAGGGAGTGCCCGGCACAATCTCTGGCAAGCAGGTGATGGCTCTATTTGCTCTCCATTTTAAATTGCTGGTGGAAGGAGAGGGGGAAGGGGGAGGTTGGTTGGCCTCTTGTTTTCCAGGAATGTGAAGGAGAATCACAATGGGACCTGCTGACATCCTAAGACAGGGACAGCCTCTACATAGAATGAGGTCTGACTGTGTTGGCATCTGAGGTCTTCTGGGGGCACTGGCAAGAGGTGACTCATGAAGCAGTGTTTCCCTAAACAGTGAGCGGTTTCTCAATTCTGGCCTGCTAGTGGGCCTTAGAGGAGAAAGACGCTAATGGCTCCCAAAGCGGCTGCAAGTTTGTAGCCTCAGGACCCTGCCACCTCATGGGACGGAGGTAACAGGGCTGATAGAAAAGATCTGGTAACTCTGGGCCTTGGCAAGCAGAATATGGGGACACCTCTAAGACAGAACATGCAGGAACCGTGGCAAGACCTTCGGATTCTAATACCTGAAAACCCTGAGCAGGGCATTTTGCCCATTCTCTGAGCACTGTGGGTAGCAGGTACATTTCATTGCGTCTCGAGTGTTTCAGGTGTGGGTTCCTGTTAGTGCCAGAGTCTGTCCACCTCCAAGCGCTGCTGTTGGGGCTAGTGGAGCGGAATTCAAATTGTGAGTTTACAGATCGCGAGTTCTGGACTTGGGAAGGATGCCCGGTATTTCTGTGCTGGCTCTGCCACTGACAGGTGCTGTCACTTCACTGGTGGTTGTGAGAACTAGATGGGGCCTCTCCTGTGTCAGCAGGTGAGTAGGGTTAGCAGGGTGTGATATCTCCCAGCACACAGGAGGCAAGAAACAGAGATCTCTGAGTTCAAGGTTATCCTGGTCTGCAGAACCAGTTCCAGGACAGTTAGGACTACATAGAGAAACCCTACCTTGAAAGTCCAAATAAACAAATAAGGAACTAGTGGGGGGCTGGAGAGATGGCTCAGGGGTTAAGAGCACTGACTGCTCTTCCAGAGGTTCTGAGTTCAATTCCCAGCACCCACATGGTGACTCACAACCACCTGTAATGAGATCTGGTGCCCTCTTCTGGCATGCAGGCATACATGCAGACAGAACACTGTATACATAATAAATAAATAAATCTTTTTTTTTTTTAAAGCACTAGTGGGTTTCCTCTTCCGAATCCCAGGGGTATCAGGAATCATGTGTCCTAGGTAGTGCCAGCCCTATGACTCCTGTCCTGTCCGTCCTTTCTCTATGCCATGGCTGATGCGGGGCATGCTGGTTTCAGGGGTCCCCACCCCTGCTAGTCACCCCAATTCTTTCCAGGCCCCTGAAGATGAAGAAGAGAAATAACGAGGCAGAAGCCCAGAGGAAGAAGATCCAGGAGAGAAAAAAAGAAACAAGTTTTATTAAAGCCCCAACACTCGGCTAGAAAAACCAGAAGGGAAGGGAAGAAAGCAGGGAGGCAGGGGAGAAAGAAGGACATTAAAAAAGAGACAGAAAACACAGCAACCCTTTCCATTTAGAAATTGCCAAGTTACACTGACAGGTCACAGAATGTCCACAGAAGCCATCACTGCTACACCGACACAGGCCCTATGGGGTGGATGGGGTGGGTGTGGAGCCAGGCAGGCCTTGGGGACCCCACTTGGGATCCCACTAAAGCCTTGGCCCTGAGGCCCCTGGGGAAACAGTATATTGTGGAAGGGGCCAGAGAGAAGCCCCCATGCGGGTAACACAGCACAGCGGGAAGGGGTGAGGGAACCGGGTACAGGGTCCCCCAATGTGGCAGTAATACAGCACAGCGGGCAGGGGTGAGGGGACCGGGTACAGGGTCCCCCAATGTGGCAGTTTCTCTTGTCAAGCACACACTGATGGACAGAGCGGCGAGGCGCATGCAGCTGAGGGGGGCATTGACGTGCTGTGGGCTTTGAGAAGGTGCGGGGAGGGAGGTCTCAGGAGGGGAGCCGGGCGAGTGGTGCAGGACGATGGAGCACACACGTGCACACGCACACTGACACACAGAGGCCCTCTCACACGCCTGCCTGCACCAGAACACAGCCACACCCACAGCTCATGCTGTCTCTGTCCATCCCTATACAGTCCTCACGTGAATAGCCAGGCATGTCCTTCACACATTATGCCTTCCTCCCAAGGTTCCTGTCATACAGTCATGCTGATGCCCAGGCAGGTTGTGCTCACATACATGTACACAGCTTCACACATACAATATAAGATTTTGCCTATGTACAAATCCGCGCATGTGCACACGCAGAAGTTATGTAGGCTCGTGCCAATGTGCACACACACAGGCCGCACACAATCCCATACAAATGCCTCCCAGCACACACATGCGCGGGAACCAAAGCGAAGAACTATGTAAATCCCGCGGGCCCTGCCTGAGAGCCCGGGCAGCCCTGTATGGATGGTCACTTGTCCCAGCTCCCCCTCCCTCCACAAAGGACACTCAACTCAGGACAATGACGGAGGGGTGCACACTCAGGTCACAGGGCTGAGGGGGTGTGGGGGCAAGCAAAGAGCAGCAAGCAAAGAGAAATGGAGTGGAGGGGCCCCTTCCCCTCCCCTCCCAAGCCAGGGGTCTCTTACAGCCAAATCAAACCAAACTGCTTCACCTACAGAAGCCAGGCCACAAGCCTGTCCCCAGCTCCCTCCCCTGCCAGACAGCAGCCAGGGAGAGTGCTCTGTGGTTTTCTTTTTTTCACTGTTTTATTAAACTATTGTCCTCAGCTGATCTGACTGGGTAAAATGCAGAAAAGCAGCCACTTTGTCGGTCTATCACAGGGTAATGTTTCTAATGGAGGCTCTAAGTGACCTGTAAAAACTAGGAGCCTAAGAAAATCCAATTTGCAACGTCACCAATAAATAAATAAAATTATTAATTGTTCAAGGTATATACAAAAATCTGAAACTAAAACCAGTTTTCTGTTCTAACTCCTATATTACCAATGAAATTGATTTTAAATGTTGTTTTACTTTTGNTTTTTGTCTTTTTTTTCTGGGAGGGATTTTTTTTCTTCTTCTTTTGTTATTTTTCAAAAAGGCTTGCTTGCCTTGGTACAAAAATGATCAAAGCTAGAAAACAAGGTGAACCAACAAAACAAAAGCAAAAATTAAAAAAGAAAAGAAACAGAACCCAGTTTTCCCTCCCTCCCCAAACTCAACAGCTGCCACTGGCCTCCCATGCCAGGCTCCAGGGTCTTGGGGCTCCATCCCTTCAACAGTTCCTTCCTGTGCTTACCAGGTGATGAGTCTCAAGACCACACCTCTGTGCTTACTCTACGTTGTGCTCCAAAGGAGCCCCCTCCAGCCTTCTTTCTTGCTCTGGTCCCTCTGTGCCTGCTGGGGACCAGGCCAGGACCAACCAGCCTCTCCCTTTGCCTCCAGGGCCCACCCAAAAGCCAGTCTGCCCTACAAGGTATCCATAGACTGGAATACTAGCTGGTGGCTCTGCCTTGGGGACCCTCAAACACCTCACAGTGGTCACTAGATCCCCATAGGCAAATCACATCTCACCCCTTCCCTGAAAACCCTCAAATCATAAAGGCTGGCTGAAGGTCATGTTGCCCCCAGCTAAGGGTCAACTTTACTGCACCCACCCCCCCCTTCTCCCTGTTTCCCTCACAACCAGACCCTACCCACCCTCCAAACATGTCTAGGCCCTTCCACCTTGCCCACCCCCCACCCATAAAATAAGTTAATGGCATTTAAAGTGCTAAATTAGGAAACTAAAAGTTACCAAGTGCCCTGCTCAGGGTTGCCCTCTCCCAAGGCAGAGCCCTAGGGGCAGACCGAACGCAGGAGCAACCCACCAGAACGGGGGGAGCCACCCACCAGAACAGGGGGCTCCCACCAGAACAGGGGGCTCCCACCAGAAAGGGGGGGCTCCTCTATCCTTAACTAGCACCAGCCAGACACTGAGCAACAGTGAGCCGGCTCTTCCCCTTGCACCAAGTGCCCCCCCCCCCCAGCCTTGGCCTCTTCTCTGGCAATCCCATCCAGCAGGCCTGCCTACGGCCCACCCTGGGTCAAGAGGAAACCGCAGGACAGCAGCAGAGGCGTGTTTCTTCAAAGGCTGGACAGGCAGTGGGGCGTCTCCCAGGCCAGGGTCTGTCTCCCTGGTCAGTCGTCCAGTCTGATGCTGGGTCTGTCCACGTCCATTAGTTCCTCCAGGAAGGAACCCAGGGAGGGGGGAATCTCCGCTGCAACAAGTCTCCGTGGCTCAGAGTTGGTTCCAAGTGTTCTTGGGAAGTTAGGGGAGGTGGGGACGTTGGATGGACTTGGGAGGAAGAGGGTGAAAGAGCAGAGGGAGAGAAGATGACAGGAAGTAGGCCGAGGGGGGCCCCCCTCCCCGTTAGGGAACAGGAAGTCAAGGAAAATCGGTGTGTTTGGTTTTTAGTTTTCTCTTTTGCTCTTTAAAAAGAAAAAAAAAGAAAAGAAAAAAAGAAAAAAGATCATTAAAAGAGAATCACTCAAAAAACCAAAAACACCGAGAGGGGATGAGAGAGCTGAGGGCCATGGCCCCAAAACCCTTCAGGGGTGAGAGTTGGGAGGGTGGAGTGGGCATGAAAGGAAGCAGGGGGACAATGGCAGGAGGGAGGGAGGGAGGGAGGGGCAGGCCAGGTGGTGGTGTGAGGGCTTCTAGAAGGAGATGGAAGAATTCCTTGCCCCAAAGGAAGTCAATACGGGGATGGAGGTTCTGGAACCAGAGGGCTTTTCTGAGACTGGGCTCGAGGTCTCATTCGACCCGCTCATTTCTTTAGATGGTTTAGTGGCCTGGAACAAAAACAGGGGTCAGGGGTCAGAGAGAGCGAAGGAGAGCCTCCATGCTGGCTCCTGGCTGAAGTGTTGAAAAATGGAAAAATCCTACAAGTCCAGGAGAAAATGAACTGCGAAAGTGAGAAACGAGAGGGACATCTGGAGAGTGGTCCTCTGAACTGGGGGACAGGGTGGGGAAGTGTCTGGGGGGCAGAAAGAAGGGTGAGGGAGGCATGGGGTTGGATCAAAGGCCCGGAAACCAGAGTAGGGGTGGCTTCAGTCCATGGTTACTGAGAGGAAAGACAGAAGACAGAGGAGATGCCAGAGAAACCCAGGCAGAGGGGACAAGGGACGGGAGGGTGGGGAAGGGAGGGAAAAGAAGTAAAAGGTTAGCAGCGACAGGGGTGCATCTGAAGCCAACAGATAGATGGGGGTCAGTAGCTCAGCCCAGCTCAGGTGCCACCTCCGGCCTGGGTGGGAGGCCCCTGGTGTAAGCAGGGGTGAACTAGCCCCACCTGGAAACTCCGAGGAGGCATCCTGCCACCACCAGCACCCCCTGCCCCTCCCCTGCCAGCCCAGAATCCCCACTGTAGCCCTCCTGTCCGTGGGCCCCAGCTCTGAGTGGTCCTAACAGTAGCTGGAGACCAGGCTATGCTCCCAGGCTCACTCTCCCAGTTGGAAGGCTCTGCCTGCACGTGCGCGCGCGCGCACACACACACACCCTCCTCGCTTCTGTATTGATCTTATCCTTTGGAGTCATGGTCTCTCAAGTAGGGTTTAAGAGCCACCTGCATCATCTCCAAAGGACAATCCATGGCATGTGTCGCAAATGCAGATTCCTAGGGCCCCTTCCTTCCAGCATCATATCCACTTTGGGGTGGGAATGTGCATTTTGAGCTGAGTGAGGGTGTCACAGACCGGACTGCTGGAACCCTGTGACTGAATCCAATGACTCACCTGGAATTTAGCTACTAGGCCTTGAAAAAAAAAAAAAAAAAGCCAGGTGCTAGTAGCTGCACATGCCTTTAATCCCAGAACTCAGGAGGCAGAGCAGGCAGATCTCTGTAAATTTGAGCTAGCCTGGGCTACAGAGCTAGTTCCAGGACAGCCAAGGCTATGCAAAGAAACCAAGCCTCGAGGGAAAAAAAAAAAAAGCAAAAAACAACAAAACAAGGCTAAGGTAAGAACTTAGCAAATTCCAACCCAGTCTGGGCTACATAGTGAGACCATCGCAACAAACCAAACCAGCGACAAGAGCCACTATAAAGAAAGAATGAAGAGGATCGTGTGGCTCACTCCAGTGACCTGCCTGAGGCTCCGGAGACCAACGCTGGGCCTGTCCTCCCCTAAAGACCTCTGGAGCCACCCAGCTGCTACGAAGGCTCTCCCAAGTACCCTAGGGTGGACCGCTACCATCTTCAGTAAGCCCTGCCTATGCAGAGGAAGGCAGGAGGTCGCCACATTGCTGGCAACAGTGTTCTCCTCGGCAGGCGTACAATTGGCTCACTAGTGACTCATACAGGCTTTACCAAAGTGTCAGCTGGTAGCCAAGGCTTCCCTTCCCTCTTGGGAGAATCAAAGCAAGCTGTGGATCCTCTACTGTGGCCCTCACCATCAGGCAGGGTCCTACCCCACGGCATTCTTTATCCATTGCCACAGGGGCCAGGTGTGACCCAGCCCTCCTGGGCCTTGGAACAAACTCAAAACAGGCACCTAAGGGCTCTCTGCCAATTGCCTTGGGCTGGGTTCTGCCCCACCCCCGCTTCTGCCTTCCTGTCGCCCACTTAAAGTTATAACTTGGAGCTGGAGAGGCAGCTCAGTGGCTAAGGGTACTTCTGCTCCTGCGGAAGACCTGAGGGCAGGGAACACAGCGCCCCCTGTAACTCTAGCCTGAGGGGTTCTAACGCCCTTTTCTGGCATCTATGAGTTTCTGCACACAAGTGGCTCCCACGTACGTACCAACTGACTCAGGCTCACACACGTGCACATAATAAAAAATTAAGCCAGGTGGCCGTGGTGCACACCTTTAATCCCAGCACTTGGGAAGCAGAGGCTCTCTAGACCAGGCTGGCCTCGAACTCACAGCGATCCACCTGCCTCTGCCTCCCAAGGGCTGGGGTTAAAGGTGTGTGCCACCACTGCCTGGCTGCATTCACACATTTATGGGGATGTCTCCCCAGGAACTCCTCATGGAGACCATCTGGGATTTCACATTTGGTGGAGTTCTCAAGAGCCAGCTTCCATCTGGGGATACACTGGCTGAACTCCATCCGAGATCCACCAAAGCAAAGGGAACAGGTTGCTTGGCAACTCTATGCTGCTCAGAGTCACCCTGTCTCTGAGGGTTTCCATCACATCCATGGCACCTGCCAATGGTCTCCTGTGAGCTGGGTTTTTTTTTTTTAACGATTTATTACTTCTATTTTACGTGTATGTATGTTTTGCCTGCAGGTATGGTTGTGTACCATATCCGTTCCTGGTGCCCATGGAGTTCAGCAGAGGGCACCAGATCCCCTGCAACTGGAGCTACAGATTGTCATAAGCCACTATGTGGGCGCTGAGAATTGAACCTGGGTCCTCAGTGAGAGTAGCGATTGCTCCTAACCACTGAGTCATCTCTCCAGCCCCTCCCTACACCCATGGGTCTTGATTTTGTTAAAAGAAGCAGAACCTCTGGGAGGAGACAGAAGCCTAAGAGAGATACAGCTTTCCTCTGAGAGAAGCGGGACACTTCTGGACCCGGGGTCCATGGCAGCACCTTCCCCTGCTAGACCACACTGCACCAGATTCTCAGGCTACTCTAGGACACCTGTCCCTCCAGGCTCTGATTCAGAGTCCCCTACAGGGCTGGATCAAGCTGGAGCCGCACACCCTGCTGGCCTCCTTAGCCAGGTCATCCTGGTGCTGCCCAGGGACTAAAGGAGCTGCCTCCTCTCTCCCCCTAGGGTGCTCACAGCTCCGGTGAGTACTAATCCCTGGTCTCTGTTCCCTCAGCTCTCTAGTGGTGCCTTCGTGTGAGCCACTAAAAGAGACAGAGTAAGTGGCTGGCCTACAGGAAGTGTCCACGGCTTCGCATCTATTCCAAGCCCTGGATTCCTCAGCTCCGGGAATCCAGTTCCCACCCCACCCACTTTAGGTCCTATGCACAGCACACAAGGGCTCTTCCGGCCACCTCGGTGCCTCTGTCACGCCTGTTGCCATGCATGGCCCTCTCGGAATTTCCCCTCTGCCTCGGTGTCCCTGGTCCCCACCACTTCGATTCTCTTCATCTCATCAACATGGGAGCTCTGAGGTCAGGCTTAGTGCCACAGGCCTGTCGTCCCATCTACGCAGGATGCTGAGGCAGAATCCACAGCTCAGAGTCTGCCTGGGAAACTGAGACCTTATCTTAGTGACCCAGGCGGGCGGAGCGTGTGCGCAGCATGCTGGAGCAGAGCCTATCGGAGGACCAGCCATGAGGACAGGGCAGCAGTGAAGGGATTCAGTCTGGGTTTGAGGACACCGACTTTAAGCAGCATTGTGTGTAAGCTGTCATCAAATACGCACTCTAGAAAGTCCTCACAGGTCTTAAAGAACCGATGAGAGGAGACAGTCGCAGACGACCTTAGAAGATGATGAATTAGGCAGAGACATGGTCTGGTTTGGTTTTCTAACTTTTCTTTTCCTACAGTACTGGGGGCTCAAACCTGGGGTCTCCCCACCAGTAGGCGGGCAATCCTCTGCTAAGCCAAACCTCCCATATCTGCTTCTTTACTGCTGCCTTTATTTAAAAATCTTCCTAAGAAACATCTATTGCTTTGCCAGGAAGCAATGTTTGGAAAGGGCAGACCCGGGCACAACACAAGTGCCAGGAACAGCTGGCAAAAGGGCAGCAGGGTGGGACAGAGGCCCATGCTTGGGTGGGGAGGGGCAGGAAGGGACCAGTGGCGTCCAGCAGCTGTGGGGTTTGGGAGCTGGGCGGTGGCTCTGAGGGGACAACTGGGGAAGACAGAGGTTAGAGAGATGTGTCACTACACAGTGGAGGAGCTGGAGACACAGACAGAGAAGGGGTGGAGGGGAGGCGCCCACCGCAGTGGTCCAGGCAGGCAGAGTAAAGCAGGGACAGAAAGGAGCCAGGGATAGGACAGTGACCTGGCTGTGACATCTGTCACCTCATTGGCTGTCGGGGCTGATTTAGCTGATCTGTCTGGCTAGGTGGGTGTCCCTCCTTCCTCACAGCTCCATATCCCTCCCTCCCAAGGTTGCATGGTTGGTCCAAGAGGACAACCTTCTCCAGTAGCTTTTCCTCCATAGAAGAGCATCCTTGGGCCAAGGGCGTACAAGCAGATGTACTCTCCAGCTCAAACCTTCCAACAAGCTTTCAAGATTCACAAAGGAACCAGGGAGGGCTGACAGGAGAGCTGGGGTGAGAAATACCAACCCAGGTCGAGTCTACAATGGCACAGATAAGGATGTCTAGACAACCACATAACCTGGGGTAGTGAGAGAGAGAAAGCCTGCGTGGCCCTTGGCGGCTTGCCCCACCCTATGGAGAGGTCTAGGGAAACCTGTCTTCCTAGGAGGCAGCAGGTAGGTAAGGGCTTGTGTACCAGGGTTATCTGGGGCCTATGGTGGGTGGGCTTTAAGGTAGCTAGGTCAGTCTTGGTTCTAACGCTATTTGCTGCGCAGGTCTTCCTTCTGCTATAGGCTGAACCTCACAGCTAGCCTTGGCCATCCCTAACCTTCTACTTCTGAGCCTAGGGTCTCCACCTGCACAGAATGAGGCCCTCCTGCGACCTCACACATGCCCGGCACACAAGAAGCACGCAGGAGAGGTTCTGAACTGAGCACGCACCCTGAAGGGCTCTCTAGAGCTACATCCAGGGCCTCCTCCTCTGGGTGGAGCCAGGCGGACCACACAAGCAGGCTCCAGGGTCACAAGCACCAAGGGCAAAGTCTGTCCACTCCAAACCTACCAAGGGAACCCCAAGGGGTTGTTGCACCTGCAGGATTCCTATGACACCTCATCTGCCCTTCCAAAGGTCAGCTGAGCCCACCAACCTGTGACTCAAACGCGGGTGCAAAATCAGCTTCTTCCTGAACTGAGGGCGGAATGAAAGGTGCCGAGCAGGAGGGGGCCATGCACAGGAGCAAAGACGGGCAGGAGGGTAAGATGGCTGCCGTACGGGCTGGCTTTAGAAGTGACCCAGCCACTGAGGAAGGGAGTGAAATCTGCACAGGGCAGGCACTGCACAGGCAGGGAGCAAGGCTCCTCTGTCCTTGGGCAGGAAACTGGCTGTGAACTCAGAGACTCACGTCTATACCAGATCCAAAGCACCGGGGCTGCAAGGAGGAACCAAGATGGAGGGTATCAACAGGGAGGGACCCACAGTAACTGAAACCATCACTGGAACAGGAGCACATAGCAGAGGCTTGGTGTATGACCCTCCAGGGGCCTGGGTGTCCCGGATCCCACCCTCACCTGCTGCTGGGCCTGGATCCTCATGTACTCCGCCCTTTGCTTGCTGTGCTTGCCTTTGTCGGGGCTGCCTGCTGGGCCCTGGGTTGCCTTCAGCCGAGAGGCTCCTGGAGTCACCACCTTCATGGGTGGCACAGTGCCACCACCACTCTGTGGAAAGAGAGAGAGGGCTGAGGTGGGACCGTTCTGCATGGAACGCTAAGCACTGGGTGAAGGCTCTGGGGTTAGGACCTCCTCGGGGAGGCCCTTGGATGCCTGGAGACCCCTCACTGACTCCCAATAAGCACCCAAGACTTAAATCCCTCTGAGCCCAGGTTCAAGGCTTCCCTAGAGGAGATAATAAGGCTAGTCAGAGCTCATGTGGGACTTTCCTGAGTGGCCCAGAGGAAGCCACTTTTACAGGGAGGGCCCCAGTACCACTCAACTCCCAGCCAACACCTTCCTGGTCCCAGGAGACAGTTGGAAATGGGGGTCTCTAATAAAAGAGCATCCCCAGGTCCGCACCACCCCTAGAGCAGAAGGCAAGAGGTGAGATTTCACCCCATCGATGGGCACATCTGGCCCCAGGGCCCTTCCCCATACAACAGCCCTTCCCAGAGAGACTCTGGGGACCCAGAGGCGCACTGATCAGTGAAGGTACAGCGACAGAAAGAGTCAGAGACAGGAGGGGGAGGAAGGGGTGGAGAAGAGGAGAAAGCTTTATTCCCTGGTTCACAGAGAGCAGGCAGGGCCAAAGCCCTCCTGATTCACGCCCAAACAGCAGAGCTGAGTCCTGGGTAAGCCGGCTTCCCGGCCGCCCCTGGCTCTGCCCATAGGCCCTGGCCTGGAAACAGGGCTCCCGGAGGGAGGTAGGCTGAAACAAAGACAGTGGGGATGATGGAGGCGGGCCGAGCTTCCGGGGCCCCACTCTCTCCACTCTGCAGGCCCAGAGACTGGAGCAGGAAGGCAGCAGGAGACAAGGGGAGGCAGCCACCTGAGGGGATGAGGGTGGGGACTGGGGGACGCTTAGACACGCCATAGTGGTGTTGGTGCCCATCTCGCTCAGGGTGGCTTCTAGCTCCTGGAGCGTCTCCTCCAGACTGTCCATACGCAGTGGGGTAGCATCCTGTACTGGGTGGCCTGAACCGACGGCCTGTTCTCCTCTACTGCAAGCTTGACTGTCACATCCAGAGTTTGGAGGGGTCTCCTCTGAGTGGGTCTCAGCAGGCTGAGTCTCATCTAGCGATGGTCCCCAAGGACAGAGAACTCCGGCTTCCGCATTGTCTGGGCTCCGTAGAATTGTCTGTTCTTTTCTGGACAGTGAGCTGCTCCTCGGCCTGAGTACCTCAGCAGCTAATCCCAGCAAGGCCTGTGAGCCATGGCAAACCCTTCTGCTGCCAGCCAAGGTCCGGGGTCTTGGTGTGGGGACTGTCCTGGGGTCCAGTTCCTCTAAGCTGCTCTCTGGCAGAGAGGGAGAGCCGGAAGTGCATTCTGTCAAGATGATCTGAGGGATACAGAGAACCCTGGGACCTGAGGCAGCCTGGGGGGGACAGAAGACGAGAAGGATTGTGATCCCTGCAGACTGAATCTTGAGCTGGGGTGAGCTCACTTCCTTCCTCTCCCAGATAGGGAAACTGAGTCAGGGAAAGTGCTGATCATGCCACCCAATAAACTGAGCCTTGAATGCAGGTGTCTTTCCATCCCGCATAGCCCTTGGACTCCTGCTTCCTGGTGTCAATGCCAGCTGCAGAAGCATGGGGGTGTGTCCCTTTCCCATCACCCCGGTAAACTTGGGAGCAAATCTCAGGCTTCGTCCCACGCACAATGGGATAGTGACATGGTGTGCAGCAAATTAAATGAGTCCATGAGGACACCCTACTAGTGCCTGGCATCATTCGAGCAAATACAAGCTACTGGCTAAATTGACCCAAACAACTGAGACCTTTCTCAGCATGAGCAGAGAGTGGACGCTGGGCCTCCACCTCAAGGTTTGGGCCATCTTCCTTATCTTGGGCTCTGCACTCACATCCATGAGGCCCATCCCCAGGAGAGGAGCTTGGCCATGGCCAGTTCCTTGGTCTCACACACTGGGCAATGCTTCAGTTAGGCACCTGTTTCTGCGTGAGCTCCTTGGCTATGGTTCTGGATTAGACCCAGGGGCCTGAGGGACCCTGTGAACCTGAGTGAATTCTGCCCTAACTCTAAGTACCAGCCCATGTCAGGCACTATGGCCTATGTCTTCATCTTCAATGCTTTCTGCAACCCATGAAATGACTGTCACTCTCCCTGTCCCCGCTTCACAGGTCAGGAGCACTATGACTCACACCTTGTCCAATCCTTGGCAAGTTAACGGTAGAGCCAGGATTTGAACTCAGATAGCCTAGGTTCAAGTTCAGTGTTCTTTTCACTAAACCCGCTGTGAGGAGACCCCTCCTATGCCTCCCGAGACAACCCACCCAGCCCTGCCACTGCTTACCTGAAAGTAGGGTGCACACAGGGAAGGCAGAGAGGGCCCCCCCGTTCGTCAGGCTCCTCTGCCTGACGGCGCCTCAGGATGCAGACAGACAGGCAGCCAGGGAAGAGGGCTTGCCTGCTGGGTCCCCTCATGACTGAGTCCCAGAACCAGAAAGGGACAGAGCTGGGTGCTGAGGATAAAACCAGTCAGGAAGTGGCCCTCTCACACTGCTCACTCCCTGAGGACTCTTGGGACAGACTCCAGACAGCACTGTCCACCTTCTGATGCCTGTCTGCACCCCTGACAGAAAGCCAAAGGCCACCAGGATCGAGTCAAACCCCAATGCTGGTGGCGGCCATCATGAACCCCATTGTGGGCTGGGAAAACCCACACAAGGAAGGGAAGGGTGTGGGCGCAGGAAGTTGAGGACAGAGGTCCTCTTACCCCAACTTGACTGGGCAGAGGGAGACCTCCCCAGACCTTTCTCCACCCTCCTCCTGGAGCACAGTCCCTGGGGTGCAGAAAGCAGCCCCACCCCCACAATCCCAAGAGGAAATAAGGTGCAGCGGGAAAGCAGTGAGGGCTGAAGTTTAGAAGGAGAACTGGAAGAGAAAACCAGCAGCCAAGGAAGGCCATGGGCTTCTCTCAAGTCCCCTGACTGCCACGTCCACAGCAGTGACTGCCGTGTAGTGACAAAATGCCTCTGCGCTGGCTTTCGCCTGCTGAAGGATTGGGGTTAGAGCTTCCTGGAGCGAAGCCCCAGGTGGTCCCCTGGCAATCAGTGGTCAAGATAGGACCTGATGCCTTAGGCAGATCTCGTATCTGGAAATGGCCTTGAGAGCGAGCCCTCCTGGCACCCTGCACGATCTTTCTCTGTATTTCTTATCTTTCCTGTTTTCAGCTGACCGCTCACCAAGAAATCAAAGTATGTCCTTGGCTCGGCCCCACCGTTCTTTAAGCAGTCCTTGAGGAACTGAAGCATGCCCCACGCCACATGAGCCTTGGAAACTTTATTAATAATAAAACAGAAGAATAAAAGACTATATAGACAAAAGCTAGACCCAGGACTCTGAGAACTAGTCCCCCACGGTAGAATATGGTTAGTGGTGTGAGACAGAATTCTAAGAGACAAAACTAAAAGTCCTTGCCAACACCTTGAGCACGTAGAAGGAGTTCTATTTTGATTATGCTTAGCCTTGATTTATGTCTGGAACCCTGAATGGGGTGATGCAGTGAGCCTGCCAAGTTCTTTGATCTGTTTTGTACATAAACTGAAGCTTTGCAGAAGTAAAATTGCAGCAGATTTTCACTACCAGTGTGTCTGTCTGTCATTCCCTTGCGTCGTATCCTGGCTATCCTATCCTTCACCCTGTTCTCCCGTGGATAGTGGTCTCCAAGAGGGACGGTCCGCGGCAGGTGGCGCTCGGAACAGGGACGTGAAGGATAGGTAAGCTTTTCCCCCTTCTCTTTTTCTTTCCAATAGTCAGGAACGACTCTCACCAGGACGCTGCAGGTCCGCCGGTAAAGGATCACCGGTTAAGTGTGAGTAATCTAAGTATAAGGGAACCATGGGGCAACATATGACTAAGAGCGATAAAATGATGGTAATTATGCTGCGGCGACAGTTAGCCAAAGCAGGATTTCAGGTCGCAGAAGACGACATGGTAACTTTTACCAAGTTCCTGAAAAAGGTCAGCCCTTGGTTCACGGAGGAAGGGACCTTATCGCTAGATGAATGGAAGCGTGTGGGTAAGGAAATGAGGCGCTATGTGCGTGAGAATGGGGAAAAAACTTTACCTACCTATGCTTATCAAATATGGTTTCAGATCCGAGAACTGCTGTCGGAAATTTCCCCCTTTGAAGGCTTGTGTCGTGACACTGCCTCTGAAACGGGAGCTGCTTCTCCTATCTATAGTGAAGTTGGGGAAGAGGAGGGGGACGTGGAAGAAAAGAGACCATTAAAACCTTCTGCTCCCCCCTTCGCCTCATCTCATCAGCCCTTAGCAAGGAATGATCTTGATGGCGACTGGGGTCTGGATGATCAGCAGGAGGAAACAGAATGGGAGGATGATTTTAGAGACCACACTGATCCTCCAGTAAGGGCAGCAATTGGGAATATCACAAAAGGAAAACCTGTTCCAAAGCCACGCAGCCGCCCCCTACCTCCTGTAGGTTTTCAGGGAGCGCTGGCTGAGGCACGTAAAACAGGTGATACTTCCTTGGGGATATTTCCTGTTACAGAAATTGGAGATAACGATGAGCCCATATGGGAGCCTATGCCCCTTAAAACTCTTAAAGAATTGCAAAGTGCTGTTAAAAGTCTGGGGCCTTCTGCCCCCTATACCTTACAGGTTTTGGATATGGTCGCAAGCCTTTGGCTCACTCCTCATGACTGGATGCAAACTGCCAAAGCCACATTAAGTCCAGGAGATTACATTCTCTGGCGTACTGAATATGAAGATAAATGTAAAGATTCTATAGTTCAATCTATAAAGAAGAGAGGCCCTAAGCCAACAATGTCCATGTTGATGGGCACAGATGACTATGCTCTTCCCCAAGATCAGGTAAAAATCCCACGTGATATATTGACAATAATAACTGGTAATGCCGTTTTGGCATGGCGCAAGCTCCCACCTCCCGGAACCAAGGGTGGAGCATTGGCTAGCATTAGGCAAAAGAATGAAGAATCCTATCAGGACTTTATTTCCAGGTTAGAGGAGGCAGTCACCAGAATGCTGCCTCCTTCGGAAGGAACAGATATGCTATTGAAACAATTAGCATGGGAAAATGCCAATGCTCTTTGTCAAGATCTTATTCGACCTCTAAGACAGACAGGGACATTAAATGATTTTATTAAAGCATGTATGGATGCCTCACCAGCGGTCGTTCAAGGAATGGCCTATGCAGCTGCAATGAAAGGACAGAGATTTAGCGCCTATGTAAAAAAGACATATGGAGGGGGTGCAAAAGGCATCACCACTCCTACTTGTTATAATTGTGGAAAACCTGGGCACATTCAAAGGGATTGCAAGAAATCCAAAAGCTCAGGACGAAAAAGTTTACCGGGCATATGTCCTCGGTGCAAAAAGGGAAAACATTGGAGTAATGAGTGTAACTCAAAATATCATAAAGATGGTTCACCTCTCACTAAAGAAGGAGAGGAAGAACCTAAAGAGTCAAAAAACTAGAACAGGGGTGTTCTCCTAACCCGACACCCAAGGGAGAAGAAGGTTCTCCGTCCCAGGGCATGTTAAACCCTGAGGCATCAGAATTCACTATTCATGATTTGCCTAGAGCTACTCCAGGAAGTGCTGGACTAGATCTAGCAAGCTCAGAGGACTTGCTCCTCTCCAAATGGGATGGAGTGGCCTTAGTTCCTACTAAGGTTTCTGGGACACTCCTCCCTCAGACAGTGGGACTAATCATAGGGCGAAGCTCTAACTACCAGAAGAACTTTGAGGTTCTTCCAGGAATAATTGATGCAGATACCCAAAATGACATTAAAGTGATGCTTCGGCCCTTGGCTGAAACTATACAAATACACAAAGGACAACGTATAGCACAGTTATTGCTATTACCATACATTAATTTACCCAATAAAATATTAAAAGAACAAAGAGGTGAAGGGCAGTTTGGATCTACTGAAGGGATCTTCTGGGTTAAGGAACTCAATGAGAGACCATTTAAAACTATTAAAATAAATGGTAAAAAGATAAGGGGTCTCATGGATACTGGGGCTGACAGGACATGTATTTCTAGCAGGGACTGGCCAAACTCTTGGCCGATACATAAGACGGGATCATCTTTGCTTGGATTGGGATCAGCCTCAGGAGTTATGCAAAGTTCCATGATTCTTAAGTGGGAAGATGAAGGAAAAACAGGACATATCCAACCATATGTTTTACCCTCCTTACCATTCACACTCTGGGGGAGAGATTTGCTGGATTCCATGAATGTTAAACTGGTTACTTCAGATAACCTTAATGAGCAGTATTTTACATAGGGGCCACTGCGGAAAAATTATATGCAGATAAAATAGAATGGCTGACTCAAGAGCCGGTTTGGGTGAGTCAGTGGCCCCTAAC